GAAAGGAAAGGAAAGGAAAGGAAAGGAAAGGAAAGGAAAGGAAAAAGAAAAGAAAAGAAAAGAAAAGAAAGAAATTTCTTTCTCACAGTTCTGGAGGCTGGGGAGCCCAAGATCAAGATGCCAGCAGATTTGGTGCCGGGTGAAAGCTGCCTTCTTGCTGTGTCCTCACAAGGCGGAAGGTGGCAGGTTCTAGCTGGTTCCCTCAAGCCCTTTTTTTGAGACAGAATCTCACTCTGTTGCCCAGGCTGGAGTGCGGTGGCATGACATCAGCTCACTGCAACCTCCACCTCCCAGGTTCAAGTGATTCTCCTGCTTCAGCCTCCTGAGGTGTTGGGATTACAGGCACCCAACACCACACCTGGCTAATTTTTGTATTTTTTAGTAGAGAGGGTTTCATCATGTTGGCCAGGCTGGTCTTGAACTCCTGGCCTTTAGTGATCCACCTGCCTCCCAAAATGCTGGTATTATAGCTGTGATAGATGGTGCCCAGCCCCTCAAGCCCTTTTTATAAGGGCATTAAATTCCATTAATGAGAGTAGAGCTCTCTTGGCCTAATCACCTCAGGAAAGGCCCCACCTCTTAACACCACCACAGTGGAGATTAACCATGGCACCAATCCACTTGTGTCTTGCAGGCATTGTGTGTATTTTGTTTGATGAATATAAGATACTGAGCTTTTGTAATTCCAGATCTAGCTAAATACCGCTCATCAAATCCTGCCAGCACCTCAATATAATCCTTAAAGACAACAAATATTTCCTTTGTGAGCTAAACTGTCTCTCCTGACTTGTGAATTTCACAGGATGGTTGAGAGGGTCAAAGGAGACGTTAGTCCCAGCAAATGGATCCTACTGAACTCTTACTGTAGGCAGTGCTAAGTGCTCTGCATGGGCCAGCTCACTGGTACCCAAACAACCCCAAGAAGAAGGGACTATTGTGATCCCCACTTTACAGATAGAGAAACGGAGTCCAGAAAGGTAGCATCACATTTCCAGAGCCACTCAGCTAGGAAGAGAGGGAACAAACCAGGTAGTGATTTACAATTTCACCCTCCTCTTCTCCCTCCCAACTTCTGATGCTGCAAAGCCCCTGGAGACAGCAGAGCTGCCTCTTTGTCCCTTATGGCTGCATCCTCACAAACATGCTGGACTCGCCCAAGGCAGCCTCTCAGTCCTCAGGGCCTGCTGGAGAAGCGTTTCCATTAGACAGTGCAGCACTGGGTGCCAGGCTGCTGGTTACATGGCCCTGGAAGAGGTGCTGGCGCAGCCTGCCTTTTTCGGGCAGTGGTGGTGACATTCCTTGTGGTGGGACTTTCCCTGCCCTAGGCTAGCCCTCTTTAGCCTGGGGTATGTGACCCTCTGAGGTAGGTGAAGACTTCCCAAGGGTGCATAAGAGTGGATCACTCTGGCCGGGCGCGGTGGCTCACGCCTATAATCCCAGCACTTTGGGAGGCGGGTGGATCACGAGGTCGAGATCGAGACCATCCTAGCCAACATGGTGAAACCCCGTCTCTACTAAAAATACAAAAAATAGCTGGGCATCCTGGTGCACATGTGTAATCTCAGCTATTAGGGAGGTTGAGGCAGGAGAATCGCTTGAATCTAGGAGGCAGAGGCTGCAGTGAGCTGAGCCCATGCCTCTGCACTCCAGCCTAGGCAACAGAGTGAGCTCCTGTCTCAAAAAAAAAAAGTTTGAGCCGCTTCCCGCGGCCAACTTCTATTCATTTGACCGCTGTCATTCCTGCCATCCAGCAAGGGGCCTGCCACCTAACGTGCTGAATGAAAGAATGGACCTTGGGGTTTGAGTGTGGAAACCTGGGCAGGTCTGTCTTGGTGTCGCTGCGTCCCCAGTGCTCAGCCTAGGGCTCAGCACGGAAAGCTTATAAACTGTTTCAGGAAGAAGGCAGGTGGAGGGTGGGCAGACCCGAGAAATGCACAAGAGAGCTCCCGGGAAGTGAAGGGAGGGATGACAAAGCAAAGCTTGAGGGCTCGGAGAAGCTCTCAAGAAAACAAACCCAGGCATGAGCCCGCGCCTGTAACCCCAGGCTCTGGAAAACCGAGGCGGTTGGATCGCTTGAGGTCAGGAGTTTGAGACCAGCCTGGGCCACATGGCGAAACCCCGTCTCTACTAAAAATGCAAAAATCAGCCGGACGTGGTGGTGCATCCCTGTAGTCCCAGCTACTCAGGAGGCTGAGGCCGGAAAATCGCTTGAACCCGGGAGGCGGTGGTTGCAGCGAGCCAAGATCGTGCCACTGCACTCCAGTCTGGGAGACAGAGCCAGACCCTGTCCCCAAAATTGTATATATATGACGAGAAAAGAAAATAAGAAAGTCTTAAGAACATTTTTTTTGTTGTTGAGACGGAGTTTCACTCTTGTTACCCAGGCTGGAGGGCAATGGCGCGATCTCGGCTCACCGCAACCTCCGCCTCCTGGGTTCAGGCAATTCTCCTGCCTCAACCTCCTGAGTAGCTGGGATTACAGGCACATGCCACCATGCCCAGCTAATGTTTTGTATTTTTAGTAGAGACGGGGTTTCACCATGTTGACCAGGGTGGTCTCGATCTCTTGACCTCATGATCCACCCGCCTCGGCCTCCCAAAGTACTGGGATTACAGGCGTGAGCCACCGCGCCCGGCAGGTAAGAGCATTTTAAAAAGAAAAAAAAGGAAAACAAAAGAGTCATCGACACCTTCGCCCTCCTCTCCGCCCCTCACCAACATGGCCGCCCCCAGGGGGATAAGCCGGTCTGAGGGGCGGAAGTGACGCACAGCGGAAGTCCGTCCTGCCTGTCGGCCAAGGGTCCCCGAGCTCAGCTGCGGGCTGCGAGGTGCGGGATGTTGCAGGCCGGGCGGCTCCGGGGCGAGGCGGCGTTGGCGCTGCTGCTGGCGGCCCGAGTGGTGGCGGCGTTCGAGCCCATCACCGTGGGTCTCGCCATCGGGGCCGCGTCCATCATCACCAGCTACCTGACCTACGATGACATCTACTGCCGCTTCGCCGAGTGCTGCCGCGAGGAGCGGCCGCTCAACGCTTCGGGTACTGCGCGCGCGCGAGCGGCGGGTCGGCGCTGCTGGGGGCGCCGGGGCCTCTGTGACCCCTGGCGGGGCGCTGGCGCGCGGAGGGACGGGCGCGCGGCCTCTAGACGGCGGTAGTCCCAGCCGGGGTGGGCGGGGAGCGGAGGCGGCGGCCCTGGAAACCGTTCGACCGTTCGCGGAAACGCGGTCCGGACTCCAGCCCTGGAAGCAGTGCCTTCGCAAACCGCCTCCAGATCGTGCGCCTCTGCCCAGCGCCTTTCTGAAGTTCCCGTTCCTGGGGATCACAGGCTGAAGAAACGGAAAGTTCCGTGGCCAGCCCTTCTGCGCCCTGCCCACCCTATCAGGTGGCTTTCAGACGTGCGGCGTTGCCCACAAAGCCCACATTGGGCCCCCGGTTTTCCTTCAGGCCAGCAGGGATGGCTGGGAATAGAAAGCTCTCAGTCGAGCGATGGTTCGTATCTGGATGGATGAGCATTTAGCCTCCCTATCGGACGCCGAAGCGTTAAGGACCTCCACGTAATGCATTTCCTTGAAAGTGGCATCAGTGCCTCAGTGTCGTGCTGGCCCTAGGGTTTGGCAGACACCCTGCTGGGTCCCTGGATAATCGGTGCTTCTCGCTTTGACCAGCTGGGATAGTGCTGCGTTGCTGATGCTTTTTTTTTTTTTTTTTGAGACGGAGTTTCGCTCTTGTTACCCAGGCTGGAGTGCAATGGCGCGATCTCGGCTCACCGCAACCTCCGCCTCCCGAGTTCAGGCAATTCTCCTGCCTCAGCCTCCTGAGTAGCTGGGATTACAGGCACGCGCCACCATGCCCAGCTAATTTTTTGTATTTTTAGTAGAGACGGGGTTTCACCATGTTGACCAGGATGGTCTCGATCTCTTGACCTCGTGATCCACCCGCCTCGGCCTCCCAAAGTGCTGGGATTACAGGCTTGAGCCACCGCGCCCGGCCCTTGCTGATGCATTTTTAACGTCTGTTTTTCTCTCTCTGTTCTGGGGCCGTTCCTGCAGCCCTCAAGCTGGATTTGGAGCAGAAGCTGTTTGGACAGCATCTGGCCACGGAAGTGATTCTCAAGGCGCTGACTGGCTTCAGGAACAACAAAAATCCCAAGAAACCACTGACCCTTTCTTTACACGGCTGGGCTGGCACAGGCAAGAATTTTGTCAGTCAAATTGTGGCTGAAAATCTCCACCCAAAAGGCCTGAAGAGTAACTTTGTCCACCTGTTTGTATCGACTCTGCACTTCCCTCATGAGCAGAAGATAAAACTGTACCAGGCAAGAGAACCCGCTATTATCTCGTCCACAGGCCACTGGGACTGGTCTGGGTGACCTGCTCACTAACTCTGGCCTCTGCTTCTCTTTCCTTTGTGTTGCAGTAGCTCCCGGCTCCACTGAGTTAAGGCACACTTAGTCCAGGTAGTTACAAAGCTCTCTTACAACCTTTCTCTTACTCGGTTCCAAAACAGTCCAGTGGGGTAGGGCATGTTATTTCCATGAAAAAATGAAGACAAGGGCTGGGCGTGGTGGCTCACGCCTGTAATCCCAGCACTTTGGTAGGCCAAGGCGGGCAGATCACTTGAGGTCAGGAGTTTGAGACCAGCCTGGCCAACATGGTGAAACCCCATTTCTACTAAAAGTACAGAAATTAGCCAGGCGCGGTGGTGGGCGCCTGTAATCCTAGCTACTCCGGCGGCTGAGGCAGGAGAATGGCTTGAATGCAGGAGGCAGAGGTTGCAGTGAGCCAAGATTGCGCCACTGCACTCCAACCTGGGCGGCGCAATGGGACTCCATCTCAAAAAAAAAAAAGATGGATGTGGTCAAGGCTGGGTGCAGTGGCTCACGCCTGTAATCCCAACACTTTGGGAGGCTGAGGTGGGTGGATCACTTGAGGTCAGGAGTTCAAGACCAGCCTGGACAACATGGCAAAACCCTGTCTCAACTAAAAATACAAAAACCAGCCAGGCGTGGTAGCCCACATCTGTAATCCCAGCTACTCAGGAGGCTGAGGCAGGAGAATTGCTTGAACCCGGGAAGCAGAGGTTGCAGTGAGCCATGACTGCACTCCAGCCTGGGCAGCAAAGTGAAACTCTGTCTCAAAATAGAAAAGCTGGAGCCTTGATCCAAGAGAGGCGAGGTGACTTACTCCTTGTAAGCTTTGTGGCAGAGCAGGAACTTGAACCAAAATCTCCTCACTCCCAGTAGACATGGTAGCCACCTTCTCCATTGAGTGAAGGCATTCAGCATCCCCAGCAGTGCAGCTGGTGAGAGGGGCATTCAGCCTTCAAGAATTTCCTTGGGCATGGCTTCATTCAATTCTGCCCACCTCTGGTACAGCCTCAGCTTTGCCGCTGCTCTCTCTTTGCAATGTAGCCTAGAGGTCTTCTTTCTTGTAGGCAGGTTTATTTCATTTGTTCCTCCCATCCTTCACATCCTTATCGTTTTCTTCAAAGGAAGCCTCAAAGAACTGAACCTTGAGACTGTTTCTCCTTTTGAGATCTTTCCACATTCATTTTATATTAAGTTGTCTAGGAGAGTTAGTTCTCATTTAAATGAATGTTGCCCTTGTCAAGGTTAGCATTCCCACTGGCAATACAGCAAAACCCCATGTCTACAAAAAATAAGAAATTAGCCAGGTGTGGTGGCATGCACCTGTAGTCCTAGCTACTTGGGAGGCCAAGGTGGGAGGATCACTTGAGCCTGGGAGGCTGAGGCTACAGTGAAGCATGGTTGTGTCACTGCGTTCCAGTCTGGGTGATAGAGCAAGACTCTATAAAAAAAAAAAAAAAATTCTCCTGTTAGGTGGGGACTGAAAAAAGAAACGGAAACTTAACTGAACAAGGAAGTAGAAGTATTTGCCATCCAAACTGGCATGAGACAGAGAAGACTGCCAAAAGGGAAGGGAGGGCTGCTCCAAAGGTAGCGAGTTATCTCGACTGATTGTTCAGTCCGTTACAACTCCTTGTTCTACTGTTTCCCCCCCTTTTCCCTCCTGCCCTTGTGTGATGGGGGGGGAAAAAAAAAAAAAAAAAAAAGGGAGGATTTTCTTGTTTTCTTTTTTCTTTTTTTTTTTTTTTTTTTTGAGACGGAGTTTCGCTCTTGTTACCCAGGCTGGAGTGCAATGGCGCGATCTCGGCTCACTGCAACCTCCGCCTCCTGGGTTCAGGCAATTCTCCTGCCTCAGCCTCCTGAGTAGCTGGGATTACAGGCACGCACCACCATGCCCAGCTAATTTTTTATAGTTTTAGTAGAGACGGGGTTTCACCTTGTTGACCAGGATGGTCTCGATCTCTTGACCTCGTGATCCACCCGCCTCGGCCTCCCAAAGTGCTGGGATTACAGGTGTGAGCCACCGCGCCCGGCCTGATTTTCTTGTTTTCTACATTCGTTTATAAATCTCCAGAAACAGAATAATAGAGATGGATGAGGGCATGTCTGGGGGAGCTTCATGGTACAGCCTTTCACACTTTTGGGCTAAGGGCTGGTTGCTTCAGTGCCTTATGTTTGCTTCAGGAAAGCATCTGGAACAGATGCTTTTCATGAAATGTGGTCGAGTCAGCTCCGTTGGTCTGGGGCGCCATGCCCTGTGCAGGTCTTCATCTAGTTCATTCTTCCTCAGCATGTGTGGCAGTACGAACTTGAGACTGTAATCCAAGAGAGATGAAAACTATGGATAGGTTCACAGTGAACGATAAATATTTACGGATCTGGCTGTGTGGTTCATCTCTATAATCCCAGCACTTTGGGAGGGTGAGGTGGGTGGATCACCTGATGTCAGGAGTTCAAGACCAGCCTGGTCAGCATGGCAAAACCCCGTCTCTACTAAAAATACAAAAATTAGCCAGGTGTGGTGGGGGATGCCTGTAGTCACAGCTATATGGGGGCACTGAAGCAGGAGAATCACTTGAACCGGAGAGGTAGAGGTTGCAGTGAGCTGAGGTGGTGCTGCTGCACTCCGGCCTGGGGATAGAGCGAGACTGTCTCAAAAAAAAAAAAAAAAAAATCACAGATCTTGTACCTCTTACACCTTTAAAGGGTTACATTTAATATATGAGTTAGGAAAAAACTTCTCTGCACTTTAGCACCTGTCTGCTAATTTCTACTTTTTAGAGATGAGATTTTGGAAAAGCTGCTGCCCAGTGAATGCAGGTGAGGGAGCAGTTCTAAGGCTTTGGAAAAGCTGCTACGCAGCGAGTGGGGTGAGAGTGCCGTTGTAAGAGCTCTGACCTCGACCTTCAGTGCAGGGAGCAGGTGCTGCCCGCGCTCCTCTTGGTGCACCCTTTGAGCTTCGCGTCCTATTTCTTCTTTCACGGCCGATCCAGGTCCAGTTACAGAAGTGGATTCGCGGTAATGTGAGTGCATGTGCGAACTCTGTTTTCATATTTGACGAGATGGATAAATTGCACCCTGGGATCATTGACGCAATCAAGCCGTTTCTAGACTACTACGAGCAGGTTGACGGAGTGTCTTACCGCAGAGCCATCTTCATCTTCCTCAGGTCAGCGGGAGGTGGTTTCTTGGGGAACACAAGCACCTCATTCTCTCAGTGATAAAATGAGGTCCTCAGCACCATCAGCACTTTATTTACCAGGACAGAAGTGCCTGCTGGGCACAAGGCACTTACCTACTGCTTTCCTTCTTTGCTAGTCTCAGCATGGCACACAGTGTGGGCAGGGGAAATGAACTAAAGAAATAATCACTGATAGCAGGCAATTTTAGCCAGGAATGGTGGCATGGGCCTGTAGTCCCAGCTCCTTGGGAAGTTGAGGCAGGAGGATTGGTTGAGCCCAGGAGTTCCAAGTTTGATTGAGCTGTGATCATGCCACTGCACTCCAGCCTGGGGGACACATCGAGACCCCAACTTTAAAAATGAAATCAAAATGAAAGCAGGTAATTGTATTAACTGTACATGTTGGTTTATAGGGTTATAAAGGCCTTATCCCAGCTAGTTGTGAAGAAACATTTTAAGTTCTTTGAGATTAGGCACTTTTTTGTGTAGTAGCACTCAGTAAGTATTCCTTGATGAAAAATAGATCTTCAGCCAGGCATGGTGGCTCACGCCTGTGATTCCAGCACTTTGGGAAGCCAAGGTGGGCAGATCACTTGAGGTCAGGAGTTCGAGACAGGCCTGGCCCACATGGTAAAACCCCATCTCTAATAAAAGTACAAAAATTAGCTGGGCATGGTGGCATGCACCTGCAGTCCCAGCTACACAGGGGGCTAAGGCAGAAGAATCGCTTGAATCCAGGAGATGGAGGTTGCAGTGAGTCGAGAGTGCATCACTACACTCCAGCATGGGTGACAGAGTAAGAAGACTCCATCTCAAAAAAAAAAAAAGAATGGACATTGTGGCTCACGCCTTTAATCCCAGCACTTTGGGAGGCCGAGGCAGGCGGATCACAAGGTCCAGAGATGGAGACCATCCTGGCAACATGGTGAAACCCCGTCTCTAGTAAAATACAAAAAATTAGCTGGGCGTGGTGGTGCATGCCTGTAGTCCCAGCTACTCTGGAAGCTGGGGCAGAAGAATCACTTGAATCCAGGAGGCAGAGGTTGCAGTGAGCCAAGATCGCACCACTGCACTCCAGTCTGGCGACAGAGCAAGACTCCATCTCAAAAAAAAAAAAAAAGAATAGATCTTAGAGGAGGTTCATTTCTTGGTAACACACAACTCAATATGTTATTTTAATCTTTATTTCTCTGGCAAACTCAGCAATGCAGGTGGGGACCTTATAACTAAGACGGCTCTGGACTTTTGGCGGGCTGGAAGAAAGCGGGAGCACATTCAGCTGAAGGACCTGGAACCTGTGCTGTCTGTCGGAGTCTTCAATAATAAACACAGTGAGTCTGCCAGGGTGAAGGAGCCCCTTAACTGTCTGGCAGTGTGCCATCTTCTCTTTCATTGAGTGTTTCACAAAGTCACAGAATCCCACTGGACTTGCTGGCTTTACTAAAGTTGGGAATTTTCTTAGGGCATTCTGTTCTAGAAACCAGTGAGTGAGCGTCCAGCTGAGTGTCACATGGGCTTGTTGGACACTGACAGAAAGACTGTCTAAGGGGCACAGATGTGAGGAACATGCTGAGGGTTGGGATCGGAGCTTGTCCAGGTGGCGGTGGGAAACCCAGCTGTGTCTTGTTCTGCAGGTGGCCTGTGGCACAGTGGACTGATCGACAAAAACCTCATTGATTACTTTATCCCCTTCCTGCCCTTGGAGTACAGACATGTGAAAATGTGTGTGAGGGCCGAGATGAGGGCCCGCGGTTCTGCCGTAGATGAAGACATTGTCTCGCATGTGGCAGACGAAATGACGTTTTTCCCCAAAGACGAGAAGATCTACTCAGACAAGGGCTGCAAGACTGTGCAGTCACGGCTTGACTTCCACTGAGCTCCTATCCAGATGGGGAAGGAGGCAGCCGGGAGGCTCAGCACACCAGAGGCCTTGCCTTTTGGGAGAACTCTGAAGACCCCTTTGGGGTGTTGCCTGTTTGCACCTTAGACTTTCGTGGTATAGAATTTTTTTTTTTTTTTTTTGTGAGACAGCGTTTCGCTTTGTCGTCCAAGCTGGAGTGCAGTGGTGCAATCCTCAACTCGCTGCAACCTCCACCTTTTGGTTTCAGTGATTCTCATGCCTCTGCCTCCCGAGTAGCTGGGATTACAGGCATGAGCCACTTCGCCCAGCTGGGATATGGCATCTTAGAGTTGATTTTGGAAAACACGTGAATCTATTGCGTGTATTTATCATTTTGCAAGATGACAGAAATCCAGCTGTTCTTTGCAGCTGAGGGTGAACTTTTAAAATCCCCTTCACACTTAATGTACTCACTGACAGAAGTGCCTGGAAACAGCTGTGCATGGCCGGCCAGGCAGTGGTTTCTGACCCAGAGCACCTGCACCTCACCTCAGAAGCTGCTGTCAGAACTGAAGGAGTCCAGAGACCTGCAGCAGGCTTGGGGGCACTGGGTTCCTACCAGCCAAAAACATCCTTTTGCTCTGTTCCATTCTTTACACAGAGAGAGTTCAATGACTTGAAGTAGATTCAGTTTAAAATCGGGGTGGAGGTGCACACGGTGTCTGACAGGACAGGCCATGCCTGCTGAGCGCTCTTGATCTGGGCTGACCTGTCTGTATGTGGGGTGGAGCCTCCACCTAAGACCTCTGCAGCAGACCTGGACAGGCCCCTCCCATCTGTCCATTGCTCTGGCTGCTAATACAAGCCTGGTTGTGGAATCCTTCACCATCTCTCAGCTGGCATCAGCCCCAGCCTGCCTTGTGCCACATCTCAGCTTGGCTCACTGCTAGAGTCCCCCCAGCCACACCATCAGAGTTGAATCACAGTGAGACCATTGGCTTTGGGTTTGAGTACTTGGTTCCCACGTGAGATGCTTAAGACTTTATACTTGGGTCAATCCTCTCACTTATGTTGTAGAACCAATTGAAACCCTAGGACACGCTCATCCTGGAGAGATGACATGGACCCAGGCTGAACAGTCAGCTTGCAGGTTCTGCATTGCCAAAGAAGTGAGAGCATTGTGTACTAGGAATGCTGGAGTTTTTGAGGCTATGTATTTTTTTAATAATGTTTTTACTTCTGAATCTTAAATAATGAAAGTATAGGACATTGCTTATTTTAAAACGAGGGAAGGACACAACATGGAATGATTGCTTATTCCTTTCTCAGATACTCTTAAAACCAATTTTTATTGTTAAATTTGTGGTAATACATGGTCACAGCTGTGGATCAAACAAGATCAGTCTAAAGTTGTGGCAGGTCCTGGGTGTCATCTGATGACACCACTCTCTGTGGCAGCGCCAGGCTGAACTGCCCTGATCCCTGGGAAGTGAGACTTGGATTCCGGCCAGTGTGAGTCACTGTATCTCCCATAATTGCAGCACAGCTGCAGACACAATCAGAACAACATGCAGCAATTTTACAAAAAAAGATGGTAGAATTTGTGACATGGAAATGCCTTATAGGGTGTCACACTTAAGTCTTTAAAAAACACCAAGGTGAGGCTTACACTTTTTATTACGTATCCTCGAAGTGGAGCTAAGTTATACTTTTCTAACCTGTTGGGCATCTGGTCCAGAGGAGACAAGATTTTCTCTGTTTACAATGATGCAATAAATACGTGTTCGCCACCTTTGGACCGCTGTTGCTGATTTGTAACTTGAAAAGGCCATGGTTGATCATGACCCCGCCTCCCCCCAGCCTTGTAAGATGTGGATGGGAGCTTTATTGACCTACTGAATGTAAAATAATAAAGCCCAGATTTTATCATGTGAAATGTCACTTGCTAACTTCTTTTTTTTCTGGTTTATTTGGTATCAAAGTTCAGAATGAATTTCAGCTGCACAGCTGAGACTTGCCATAACCTGGACAGGTGGGTGGGCAGTCAGTGTGGTACAGAAACAATATTTACCTTAAATACTCTTACCCCCAAATAGAAGTTAAATTAGCTGATGGATATTTCATCAAAGAGATGGACTTCCAACAAATACTTTCTCCCAAAATTAGAAGAGGAAATTGAGGTACTGGTAAAGTATGATTCACCTCTGACATCCTGAACCTGAGCCCAGGTGAGGAAACCTAACCACTGGGTCTCCCTGCCTGAAACTGGTAAACAAATCTCAGGTTAATCTGATCTCGGCTTAATGACACATAACCTGGTATCATCTCACATCAGTGAATAGCTAACACTCACCCTCTTTCAAAGGATTGAGGATTATCAGATTTACTACAAAGTTCAAACCCGTATCACCATCACCTCACCCACTCCCTTAGGAATTTCTCAACAGACGGTACTGAATTCCCAGGAGACCAACTTTCTAGGTCTGGTTCTCAGTCTAATGCAGTTCCTATTCCACCCTGCACTGCCTCATCTACAAAGACAGAACCTTCCAAAATTGTCAGGGGACCCCTGTGTTCCCTAATTAGGGACTTCTGATGCCAGGGCCAGTCTTAAAATGAATGATTAGACCCAATCTGTGACTTCCAGGGGCATAACAGGCCGGTTGCAGCTCAACACCAAGAACTTTCTAATGTGCGGAGGCATCTTTAGGTGACCTGAGCTGCCCTAGGGGAACCCCATGCAGGCTGGGGAGCCATAGGCAGAGGGGTCTTACATAAGACCTGCAGCTCAGGCCACCAACTTGTCTTGTGCCTACTAGTAGTCCCTGCAGCACTCTCGCAGCAGCTGCACCCATGGGCGCACAGCCCACATGCAGGGACACAGGCGTGTTGCATAAACAAGGTGTGCTTAGCTTAGTCTATGCCGCTGTTCTTACTGGCATCTCAGCTGTACTTGAACTCTGTGGCTGGGTGTCAGGAGCTCCAAGAACCCCTGAGGGAGGGCAACTTCCCAGACCACTGGGTGAGGGGACAGAGGCATCCTAGGATCCTCAGAGCCCTGTGTGAGACTTCATTTCATTCCAACCTGGATTGACCTGCTAGGTCTTCACTGGCAGCCTCACCTCATAAGGCCTACACCCTCTTCAAAAACGCACTCACCAATGACACACGCAACATTTTATTGTAAAACGGTAGCCATTTGCATTTATAAATAAAGACACAGTTCTCAGCATCCTCAGAAGGGGCAGCTAAGCTTTTTAGGTTTTGAGGATTCTGATTGAATGTAACAGAAAATATGATAAATTAAGATTTAATATGGCAAAATTCACATAATTTAGAATCCAGCAGAGAGCCCATGTGGCTCATTCAGGAATGGATAGTGAAGGGCCACCTTCTGCAACACGAGTGTCTAGGAAGTGACAAGCTGCAAATGCTTTTCTAACAATTGTTGACAATGTTGCCAAGATCATTCCCACAAGCTTCCACTGTTGTGAAGGTTAAAACCCTTGGTGAGGCCATTTCAGGCTTATCTGCAGTGCCTAAAGGCCTCCTCTTACCTACTTGTCCTTCATCTAAACACTTCATGGCCCCTGGCAGCGCCTGCTGGGACCATCCTGGGACAGAGTTGGCTCATGCTCCAGCCACATCCCCAGCGATGCCCTCCTGTGGAACCAATGCCATGCACGTGCGCTTGGGCTCATGTGCAGTAAAGATACATCACAGTATATGTTATAATGACGGGAACTTAAAAAACACACACAAGGCCAACAACTCAGAATCTGAGCAGTCTCTCTCAATGTTAAAAACCATTTTAAATAAAGTGATCACATTTTCAGTAAAACTTATTCATCCTTCCTTGAAACAAACACTTGGAATTAAAACATAATTTTTAAAAAATCATGAGCCCTGCGATGAGTGTGCTGGGAGCTGGCTCCTTCCTTCTCTGAGGGCTCAGGAGGCCTCCTGTCCTCACCCATGGTCCCAAGGTGGCCTGCAGGCACCAGGGATGGAAACCATGTCCAGAGAATTCCTGTCACATCAAACAGGAAACATTCACTTGAGTCCTCCTCAGGGAAAGGAGCAGGGGGCAGAGGCATGGGAAGGACTGAGTGTGGAGTTTCCTCTCCAACTCCAGGCAGTGACTCTCGCTGTCAATCATGGCTGTCAATCATCGTAGTAATAATCTAACTTGGTGAACACGGTTTTGCAGCCTTTATCCGAGAAAACTCTCTCCTCTTTGGGGAAAAATGTCATCTCCTCAGCCACTCTGCTCACAATGTCTTCATCAATGTCATAGCCTCGGGACTGCATTTCGACTCTGATACACATTTTTAGGTGTTTGTATTCCAGGGGGAGGAAGGGAACAAAATAATCAATGAGGTTCCGGTCAATTAAGCTGCTGTGCCAGAAGCCACCTGGGAAGAAAAAACAAGGTGCTGTTCATCCACATCCAGCCGCCCAACCTGTACATTTCTCCTGGGCTCACTCACCCACCTCACCCACACACGTCTACTGGGGGTCACCCACCTACACACCCACCCTCCCATCCGTCTCACACGTGTCTCCTGGGGGTCACCCACCCTCCCATGCATTCCACACACATCTACGGGGTGTGCCCTCTCCCTTATGAAGCTCCGGATCCAATGAGGAGCAGATGTTAACAGGCACCTGCACACTGAGATGCTTCTGTGACAGAGTGGAAAGGGACACCCTCTTTACACTGCAGCTGGGGAAGGCCTCCCAAGGTGTGACTTAGAGATCGGAGGTGGGAAAGAAGGTCAGGAGCCCAGGGCCCTGGAGCCCAGGAATAAGCAGAGGTGCGGTGTGGGGAAGGCAGAGTTCCACAGAGAGCAGAAGCAGGAGGAGTTCCAGGAAGGACTCTACCAGCCACACCCCCTTATTTGGGAAAATTTTGACTCTCCTGGAGTTTCAGCAGCTGGACCAGCAACAGGGTAGAAGCCTGCTGCCGCTGCCACCGTGCCCAACTCCTATAGAGCATGTGGGCACCAAAACTAGCCTCGGGAGTGCTGAGCCCACACTGGGCTCCCCACGAAGGCCTGGCCTTGGCCGTGTTTTCTCCCAAGTGAGGACAGGCTCTGCACCTGCCCCGTCTACTACTCCTGCGCTCCTGGAACTCCTGACCCAGGACACCCGCTCCCAGCCCCAGATGACACACACACATTACATCATCCACCAGCCCATGGGTGTCGTCCCGTGAGCTGTTTCCCTTCTGCTCTGCCAGGTAATTCCGGGGCTCAGTCCCCAACCCAAGCTCCTCCTCAATCACTGGGTTAATGCTTTTCATGCCCGACAGTGCTTTGCACACAACTGGTGCTCAATAAATGTGTGGCCGACTGGATAGAGTGGAGCCCGTGGCCAGGGAAAGAACAGAACCAACCACTGAACAGGAACAAGGGGCAGTCTTGCTATTGCGAGCTCACGTGGGAGGCTCGTTCTCGGAGGCCTGCTCTGTGCCAGGCATGCCCTGGTCCTGGGGACACAGCTGAGGGCAGCCGGCCCTCACGGCTTTACCACTCTAGGGCAGCAGACACCCGACAATTGTGCTAGGAAACAATCTCAGGCGAATGTCACACAGAACAGACATGAGGGCGGGAGGCGAGGGCCAGGTGCTCCCGCGAAGCCGGGCTGGGCAGAACCAGAACCTCAGGGCAGTGCCCGAACAACTAGGACCCAGCCACACGGAGTGGGGAGTGTCGGCAGAACAGGTGACCTCGGGCAGCCCTGAGACTTTACAAGCATCTCCTGAGGACCGCCAGGTTTGCCCTCCTAGCCTGAAGGCCTCCCTGGAGCTCCGCCGCTCTGCTCTGATGCCCCAGATGCCATTGCTCACCGAGCTCATCCATCCTTCCTGCTGTCACTTCCCTTCAATAGCAGGGCCATCATTCCCATCACTCAAGCCAGGTCCTTGGTTCTTCTCTCATTCCCAAGTACAATTCTGCAGGAAGTCTTACAGGTTCTACTTCAACACACATCCAGAACCCGACTGTGTCTCTCCACCACCAACGCTTCTGTGCTGAGCTCCCTGCCCCTGTGATTGTACGTCTGTCCTCCACCCAGTGGCCAACAAGGTCCTGTGAAGGCCCCGTCAGATCACAGCACCGCCTGCCCCAGACCCTGCAGCCTCTCTCTTCCACATGGAATAAAAACCAAGGCTCACATGGCCCACAAGGCTTTCCACGGTCTATATCTCCACCCCAAATCTCACCTCTTGTATCGCCTCCTGTTCCCCTCCTGTTTATTCTGGACCAGTCACAGTGACCCAAGCACAGGCCCCCTCAGAGCCCTGGAGGTGCTGCTGGCTCTGGGGAATGCTTTCCCTCAGACATCCACATGGCTCACGCCCTCGGGTCAGCCCAAATGCCACCCTCAGAGGGAGCTTTCCCTGACCACTCTATTAAAGTAGAGCCCATCCTTACCCTGTACCCCAACGCCTTTCTTGATTTTTTCCCCTCCTAGCCCTGAGGGGAAAGATATATATGTTTATGTGTGTCCATGTGTGATGTGTGCATATGTATTGCATGTATATACACACATGAACACATACATAAACATATGTATCCCCCACCATCTGATACTCTCTTTTCTCTTTCTTCTCATTTCTTTCTTTCTTTCTCTCTCTTTTTTTTTCTTTTGACAGTCTTGCTGTGTAGGCAGGCTGGAGTGCAATGGCATGGTCTCACCTCACTGCAACCTTCACCTCCCAGGTTCAAGCGATTCTCCTACCTCGGCCTCCTGAGTAGCTGGGATTACAGGCACTCGCCACCACACCTGCTAATTTTTGTATTTTTATTAGAGACACGGTTACACCATGTTGGCCCAGGCTGGTCTTGAACTCCTGACCTCATGATCCGCCTGCCTTGACCTCCCAAAGTGCTGGAATTACAGGCATGAGCCACTGCACCCGGCCCATTTTCTTTCTT